AAAAAAAAAATAAAATAAAATAAAAAGAAAAAGAAACAGGTGAAAATAATTTTACTAACATCGTTAACCCAAAATATCCAAGGACAAAGGGGGTCACAAAGGCTAGGGAAGACCACTCATAAAAAGACAAATTTGAGGCTGGACGTGGTAGCTCATGCCTGTAATCCCTGCACTTTGGGAGGCCGAGACAGGTGGATCACTTGAGGTCAGGAGCTCAAGACCAGCCTAGCCAACATGGCAAAACCCCATCTCTACTAAAAATACAAAAATTAGCCCGGTGTGGTGGCGCACACCTATAGTCCTAGCTACGCCGGGGGCTGAGGCATGAGAATCACTTGAACCCAGGAGGTGGAGGTCCCAGTGAGCCGAGATCATACTACTGCACTCCAGCCTGGGTGACAAAGCAAGACTCTGTCTCAGAAAAAATAAAAAATAAATTAAAAAAAGCAAATTTGGTTTTGACTAAGACACATCAGTTCCTTATGGGACACAAGTAAACATGGTACTCACAGTTTCTGAAGAAGAGGATGATCTCTGTAAATTCTCACTTTGTACCCAAATGCTCTCTGTCACAAATGCTATGTGTTCTGCTTCAAGTATAAAAGGAGACACAAGAAATAGAGCCCACTTGTTCAAGTCTTCAATGGACTGTAGAGAGGGAAAGAAACATGAGATTGTCACTTCACACCACAACTGCCATAAATGTCAACCCCCTCTGAAACACACCCTCCCCTATAATTCCAAGTAACATCTAAATAAGCTTATCTGATGCTCCTCTGTAGGCCACAGGAACCCTGTGTTTCTTGTTTAGCTGTGACTATTTAAGCACCTGCAAAAGCCCATCCGTGACTCAGGACAGCTTTAACATCTCTAGACAACTGTTCTCAAGCAATGAATTCTGAAACGGGGCTTATCCCCACCATTCCTCACTGCTTAGCACATAGTAGCTAACTGGGAAGTACATTTAAAGATGAGGAAGCTGGCCAGCACAGTGGCTCACACCTGTAATGCTAGCACTTTGGGAGGCTAAGGTGGGCGGATCGCTTGAGCCCAGGAGTTCAAGACCAGCCTGGCCAACATGGTGAAACCTTATCTCTACAAAAACATACCAAAAAAATGAGTTGGGCATGGGGGCCTGTAGTCCCAGCTACTCAGGAAGCTGAGGTGGGAGGATCACTTGAGCCTGGGAGCCCAAGGTTGCAGTGAGCTGAGATCATGCCACCACACTCCAGCCTTGGGTGACAGAGTGAGACCCTATCTCAAAAAAAAAAAAAAAAAAAAAAGGCGAGGAGGCCTAGAGGTACGTACCCACCAACAAAAACTCCTTACTCACAGAAGCCCAAAGGGCTGTTCCTTCATTCCCTACAGCCATCACAGCACGGGCACAAGGCAGTTTTTCTTTACGCCTTCCTTATAGTGAAATCAACCCTGCTTCTCTCCCTGAGATCTGGGAAGTATGCAAGTGTCTGGATGCTCACACAGCAGTCAAATCCAGAGAGAAAAGCTATTTCAGGGAAAGGCATTTACCATATGCAGAGATGCAATCAGACATACTTTAATGGAATGTAAACTCCGGTCAGGAGTGATTGTAGTTTTTAAAAAAGAAGATTAGAATCAAGATTGGTTAGCAAATCAGATACACCCAGTTATCTCTTGTTTTCTTTCCTGAAATGTCTCTAAGAAAAATAGCAAATTGATTTTAAAAGGCTTTGACATACAGGGCATAGCCAGAGAAGAAAAAGATGAAATCTTAAGCTGGGCACACAGGGGGCTTTCACCATTCACCCAGAACAAAGGTAACTAGGCAGGCTCCACTGTGCTGCATATCAGTTCAAATCTGCTTGATAAAAACCTGTTGAACTAAATGAATGAAAATTTAGGGAAGAATTTGTCCCTCCCTCAGTAAACATAATTATCAATATAGTGGTTAAAAAGTATGTCCACTTAGGCCGGGCGCGGAGGCTCACGGCTGTAATCCCAGCACCTTGGAAGGCTGAGGCACCTGAGGTTGAGAATTGGAGACCAACCAACATGAAGAAACCCCATCTCTACTAAAAATACAAAATTAGCCAGGCGTGGTGGTACATGCCTGTAATCCCAGCTACTCGGTAGGCTGAGGCAGGAGAATCACTTGAGCCCGGGAGGCGGAGGTGCGGTGAGCCGAGATCGCGCCATTGCACACTAACCTGGGCAACAAGAGCAAAACTCCATCTCAAAAAAAAAAAAAAAGCATGTCCACTTTATCCAAGCATGGAATGTGTATATTAAACAAATATTAAACAGTCAAAAAGCTTGACATTGCCAATTTGTATAAACTATCTTTGGTTAAACCTACCAATTGATTGTAGTGCATTCCATTATAAACATACACATTCAGTATTGATGCATTTGATTTTAAATGTATAACATATGAGAACAGGCCAGGCTTGGTGACTCACACCTATAATCCCAGCACTTTGGGAGGCCAAGGTGGGCAGATCACCTGAGGTCAGGAGTTCAAAACTAGCCTGGCCATCACTGTGGTGAAACCCTGTCTCTACTAAAAATACAAAAATTTGCCAGGCATGGTGGCTCATGCCTGTAATCCCAGCTGCTCAGGATGCCAAAGGAGGAGAATCACTTGAACTTGGGAAGTGGAGATTGCTGTGAGCCGAGATCGCGCCACTGCACTCCAGCCTGGGTGACAGAATGAGATCCATCTCAATATACGGGCGTGAGATTCAGGTGTGTCCTTATTTCAGCCCACATAGACTGAGGTATCCATCAAAGTAGACCCAAGTAGACTGAGGTATCCACCAAATCATCCACCTGATCATATTTTAAATCTCAAAATAACAGTAGCCAACCACAAATAAATGGTCAAGCTTTCCACCTGCAGACCTTAAACATCGCAGCTGAAACCCAACAACCATTAAATGTTCTATTTCAGGTCAATTTCCTAAGAGGAAAAAGATACGAACTAGAATAGGAACTGTGATTTAAAGGCGAGGGACGCAGAGCATGGCAGTCCCATCTAGTCCAGAAAACTAGGAAATGATGCAGCGATATCTAACCAAATCTGTAGGCAAAGCTTACTGTGCAGAGTGAGAAAGCAGAGTTGCAGAATCCCTGAAAGCACCAGCCACTCCTACTCCGGCCTGCACAGGTAGGCAAGGGCTGAAAACCACTAGTTATGGTTAGTGTAGTTAACAGAAGACCAGCAGAGACATGAAAATATTCAAAACCAAAACTGTCCAAGAAAATCAGACATTCCCATCTCAATGTTTTCATCTATTCTGACCTAAATCCCAAATTGATCCAATTTGGAAACTACTACAAAAAGCTCACCCCTCAATTTTTTCCCATTTTACTGAGTCATCTTTCTCAATCAGGTTAATTCTCACCGCTCTAAGCCATACATTGTATGTAATAAATGAACTTCTTCCCCTTTTGTCTGGGTAGTGTCAGTTATGCGGAGGTGGTACTAGTTATGTACATAACTTGAAGGACCTGAGAAAACAGTCATTCATATTCAGTGTGTCATAATACATACATAGTACTAACAAAAAAGAGTATTTTTTATTTGCTAGTGGCACAATTTCATCCCTTATCTAAGCATAGCCTCCAGGCAATATTCAAATCTTAGATAAGATTCAATTTCCCACAGGGGTTTTATGGTGTGACACAGCAGAAAACGTCATTTTAAGGCTAAAAGTGAGGCAATATTCCAGAAAGCAGAGGAAAGGGACAAGAAACTGATTAAAAGCACAACATGTTTAAATACTGAGAACAATGCTCCCGATGTCCATGAAATTTTGTGCAGTACTGCACTGTGAAACCAAGCCCATTTCCAAAAACAGCTGAATGGAAAGATCTATTGTTCCCTTTACAGCAAGGCAGCAGACTTTTTACAGAGATTAATTGACTGGCCCAAGTCACAATGTAGGTGAGAGTGGGCAGAACACGTAACCACCATCCTAAGTATTGGGTCAAAACAAACAAAGGCTGAGTGTCAACTGAAACTTAAAGGACACAAAGACCATCACTCGGGTGCCCAAGTTGGTGAATAATGCAACTGACAGAAGAAGGAGAGGGGAAAGTGCAGTTTTTTATATTTTGGAGACATCTGACAAAAAGCTGATGACACATGTGGGAGTTTTTTGTTTGAGATCTTTTTTTTTCTTAAGACAGGGTCTTGCTTTGTCACCCAGACTGGAGTGCAATGGCTCAATCATAGCTCACTGTGGCTTCAACCTCCGGGACTCAAGTGAACCTCCCGGGCTCAAGTGACACTCCCGCCTCACCCTCCCTAGTAGCTGGGACTACAGGTGCGTGCCACCACACCGACTTAAGTTTGTTTGTTTTTTGTAGAGAGGGGTCTAGCTATGTTGCCCAGGCTGGTCTCCGTCTCCTGGGCTCAAAGATATCCTCCCTCCTGGGCCTCCCAAAATGCAGGGATTACAGGCATAAGCCACGGCTCCCGGCCGGCCACAGCTGTCTTTCCTGGTTCACAGTCACCCGAACGCCGGCTCCAAGGGTGGGAAAGGAGGTCGGGGGCGACCCCAGGTGGGCGCTGCTGGCGTCCGGCTGCCAATCCACAGCTCACGTCCTCACAGGTGCGCGCCTAGAGTCACGCGTCCACGCACCGCCCCGCTGACCGGGAAGAGGCGACAGGGTCCGTGGTCCGAGTCCCGCACCTCTGGCCTCTCTCTGGGCCCCGGGGTACCCACCCCTCCCGGGCCGCACAGGCCGCACTAAGGACGCCACCCCGGTGCTCCTGAACTCCCGGGCTCCCGGCGGGGACGAG